CGGGTTTCGATACCCGTGGTTGGCAGAGCACAGATAGCCCATTGTGTAGCTTTGTGCTTATCTTCAAAACAAGCAAACATACAAATGTTTTTCATCTTTTAATATGAATTTTATGTTAGTAATCAAATCATAGATATTATCCCATACAAAAAAAAACAGAGGGTAGAGAGTTATGAGAATATTGGACACATTCACAAAAGACCTAAACTAAAAGCAAAATATCAAATAAAGAAACCTCAATAACAATGACGACTACAAAAATGGATCTATCTATAAGGCCCGCCGGTATCTCAGCGGTAAGTCTCTGGACTTATTGACGTTAAAAATCGGGTTTCGATATAGTTGGTTGGTATTGCACAATATACAGTTATGTAGCTTTGCGCTTAACAACAAATAAGCTATAAAATTAATACTGAAAACTTGAATCTGAAAATTTATACATTGATGAAACTAGTAGAAACCTAAAATCAATATTTAATGAAAACTTAAAAGGATCATCACATATAAACGAATACATAAAATTACCCTTGAAATAAATTATAAAAAACTAACAAATACACAGACCTGACACAAATTTAAGATAAAAGATATCCCATTTACATTTATTGTACGTTCTCTATCATGCGCGACTTATTTTCAAACAACTTAAAAACAAAATAAATTTTATTCTCCTTTTCGGTTATCAACTGATGAAAATTCACTCAAAAATTGAAACGCCTTGGTATAAGACTTCTTTTAGTTGCCCAAGAGAGGTTGTAGCTCACGTAACAAAGCATTTTACGAAGAGAGTTTCAATAAAGTCACGGATGCGCTTTGCATGTTAAAAAAACGTCTTTTCATCACCAGCTTATGATAAAATAAGCGGTGTTAAAATGCCAGTAATAATTCTTTGCATTATATCGATAACATGTTTATATTTTAATATTATTGTGATCTATTACTCCATATTTTACAGTAAAAGCTTCAAAGTTATTTAAAGTATAACCTTAAATCATCATTGTGAATGTTTAAACAAGAACTTTAAAGATCATTTAGCCCGATAAACTTTGATAGTGAGCCAAAAAAAACGTTTGTCATTGTATAAAAATGTAAAATCAACATAGTTAAAATTCTGTTCTCGTGCTTTTTCTGTTCTGGAAAGCCTTTGTAAGTTAGCTATGAATTGAGTGATTCAAATAATATGCAACATTATTTTTTTTATAATCTCATCTTCTACCCTCATTACTCGTTTGTTTTAAATGTTTTACATTACTCTTTACAATAATCGTAATAATACAAATACATTTTTCCATGTAATACTAATATTTTTTTTTAATTTGTGATAAAATTTAACTCTTTTTTTTTCATGTTATTCGTATTTTTTCATTTAACGCCGTAATATCTGTGTACTTCTTTAATTTCATGAAATTATATTATGCATGCGTAGATATTAGTTAGTATTCGCTCATGGTCGAAAACGTTTCTTATTTTAAAATTCTAATAAGTTATTTATACTTTAGTTGATGTCATATAACTGTGACGTGCAAAGCATATTTCGTGTTTCTGGGCTTCTTAATGTGATCATTTCATGTACACGTAGAACTTTTAAAATATTTCGCACACTCACGTTTCGATATGAGTTTGTAGTTTTGAGAATAACCCCCACTTTCTATTTTTCTGGGCTATTCCCGCTTGGCATCATATGCAATGTTTCGATGGAAGAATAGCTGTATGATAGAATACAGTATGTAGAAGAGGTCAGTGATATTTTCCAATGGCAGGACAGGTGATACCTTGAGCATTAACTTCCATTATTTTTCTACGAAGTGACCATCATCAACGTGAGTAGCTCATGCACATTGAGAGGAATGGTGTTATAAAACTGTATATATATACAACTATATCCTATTTTATTGTGCAACAAGTAAAATTTTAGAAATAAAATCAAAACAAGTAAGTTATGTCGTTCACTACACTCCTGCCCCCCCCCCCAGTGCCACAGCGGTATTGGCTGTGAACTTACAACGCTAAAAACCGGGTTTCGATACCCGTGGTGGGCAGAGCACAGATAACCCTTTGTGTAGCTTTGTGCTTAACTACAAACAAACACCACACTCGTTTGCCTCTAACTGTCGTACTATTAATAAAGATAATACTTCACTTAGCACTTTCATTGTGTTTGTTCTCTTTCTTGATACTTAGTCGGAGTTAGAAAATTCAGATTCAACTTCGTAGTACATTTCCTGTCGTTTCACAAACTATTGCGGTACTACTCTTACTTCTTAGGCTATCAGTGCTTCTGAGAATACAGCACAGTTATATCATACCATTTCCAGATAACATCCAATGTCATCTAAATATGAGTGCCTTCAATGGGTTAAAAGTCCATCAGTGAAAAATATTTTTTTAAGATTAAACTGACTTTTCTAAAAAACAAAACGCAAGAAGCTTCAAATAATACATTTCGAAAAGCTAGGAAACTATAGAAAAGACGAAGGTAAGAGAAAAGATCCAAACACTATAAAAACAAAATACAGAAACTCAACTTTTGATGGAACTATAATAATATCCTTCTACTCTAACATCAAAGTTTATCAGAAGGTCTGCTTTCTTTCTTACACACAAAATTAGAAATTATTTAATCAACACTTTTTCTTTGACGAAGAAACTAATTCTAACCATAAGAAACTGAGTTGTTAGTAGGTGTTTAACTTAACATCCTTTAAGGGTTCAGATTATAACTTGAAAAGAGCTTTCGTCTGAAAAGTCGATAGTGGTGTGTTGTACTCAAAACACGCAGGAACAACTGGAAAGAAATTAACACCCGAAAAGAAACCCAACAACTCGATCGCTTTCTGAAAGTGGACTTTCCTTCGTCCAATCCGACCTATTAACTGTCGATACTTTATCTTCAACATGTTCTTACCGTTAGAGGTACTATTATGATGGAGCGTTCATTGGCTGCATATGCTTTACAGCAACATACAATATCATAAATACTAATTCTTGGATTTTACGGATTGTTATTGAGATGGAAACAAGATTACAAGGAAACCTACATTTTATAACATAGATGATCAAGTATTCTGATTGATAAATTACAAAAATAGTGGATTTAAATATTGTTAACCTCCACAACAAGATAAATGATCAAGTATTCTGATTGATAAATTACAAAAATAGTGGATTTAAATATTGTTAACCTCCACAACAAGATAAATGATCAAGTATTCTGATTGATAAATTACAAAAAATAGTGGATTTAAACATTGTTAACCTCCACAACAAGATAGATGATCAAGTATTCTAATTGATAAATTACAAAAAATAGTGGATTTAAACATTGTTAACCTCCACAACAAGATAGATGATCAAGTATTCTGATTGATAAATTACAAAAAATAGTGGATTTAAACATTGTTAAGCTCCACAACAAGATAGATGATCAATTATTCTGATTGATAAATCACACAAAATAGTAGATTTAAACATTGTTAACCTCCACAACAAGATAGATGATCAAGTATTCTGATTGATAAATTACAAAAAAATAGTGAATTTAAACATTGTTAACCTCCACAAAGGCTATTACAAACTTAGTTGCACTTTTAGGTACGCTACTTAGAATTCCCCCGGTAGGTCAGCGATAAGTTTACGTACTTACAGTCTAAAATATGGGTTCGATTCTCCACGGTGGACAGAGTTCAGGTAGCTCAGTGCGTAGTTTCGCGCTAAAATAAACAACGCCAGGCCTCACTAGGTAGTAAATGTCAAATAACTTATTAAAACAAGTACTTTTATATTTCTCGAAATCTATATAGTAATTCCTGTCATTCACATTTCCTTGTGAAAACTTCATTGTAATCAAAACGTATTTATTTTTCAGCTCCAGCAAAGACAATAGTAGTTAATCACAGCTTGACTCCGTCAAATGAGTTAGAGGTATCTTGTTCAGCGAAAGGACTCTTTCCCAGACCACAGATTGAGTTGTTTGTGTCTAAACCTGGTAAAACTGTTCCTCGTTCTATCAGCGGGGCTTCTGTTACTACTTTTCCACGAGAAGGAGTTTTTGATATAGAACTTAAGAAGATATTCAGTATTAGAGATTTGTCCAGGACTGAAGCCACTATTTTTGAATGTTTCATAGAGATTCCAGGGACGGATTATGTTACAGTCAAGAGGAAGGCTTACTTTCCAGGTAAGATTCGGAAACGTCTGAGTTAAATACATTTGTTACTACAATAAAAAAGTAAAAATACTAGATTGTGTTAGTGTCAAGAGGAAGGCTTACTTTCCAGGTAAGGTTCGGAAACGTCTGAGTTAAATACGTTTGTTACTACAATAAAAAAGTAAGAATACTAGATTGCGTTAGTGTCAAGAGGAAGGCTTACTTTCCAGATAAGGTTCGGAAACGTCTGAGTTAAATAACGTTTCCGAACCTTACCTGGAAAGTAAGCCTTCCTCTTGACACTAACACAATCTAGTATTTTGCCTTTTTTATTGTAGTAACAAACGTATTTAACTCAGACGTTTCCGAACCTTACCTGGAAAGTAAGCCTTCCTATTGACACTAACACAATCTAGTATTTTACCTTTTTTATTGTAGTAACAAACGGTGAGTTAAATACGTTTGTCACTACAATAAAAAAGCAAAATACTAGATTTTTTACTGTCTCTAAGATTATGACTAATAATGGAAGTTAGATGGCTAAGCAACCATATAATAATATTTATGTTATTTATTTTAATACTGGAGTTAATGACTAGATAATTATTTTACCCATTGATATACGTCTAATAAACAGGAGATGGTTACATTAAAATTGTACTAGGACTAGGCTAATGGTAGATATTTTTAATGGCTCAAATTAAGAACAAACAATGAAATTATTTCACACAACGCTTCTTCGAGTGAAACTGAAACATTGTTTTTATAATTTCCACTTCCACTTTCAATTTTAGCTATTGAAAATTGGTTTTAGCTTATATAAAAACCTCTAGCCAATAAACCAACGTGCAGATGAAAATCAGCAGACATTTTATGAGATTAGAGCTAGAGAGAAAATCATGTATATTTCTACAGTATACTTTAGCTAGTGTGAAATATAAAGTTATGCCAGTACTAATAACGAAGTTACGAATAGATCGATTATATCTAGATGCATTTTTATTTAGAAGTAACGTGCAGAAGATAAATATCGTAATTTTTGTGAGAAGATTCGAATTGTGGGTATATTCAATAAATAAAGATATGTTTATCAGAAGAAAGGTAGTACGTACAAATGTATATATTCGTCTTAGGAGTAGAATCTATATAATCTGTTGTCTGTTGTATGTCTATGTAACTACTTTGCAGGGTGTAGATGAATCTTCACCAAATTTGGTGTGGAGGTTTACTGAGTCTATGGGGAGATACATACAAATTTTCAACTTTGCGTTTTGCGGTATTTGTGGGCGCTTTTACCCTTTTTTTATAACTATCTCACATCCTGTGGATGAATCTTCACCAAATTTGACATGAAGGTTTGTTACATGCGTATTTGCAGTTTCAAATTTTTTGTTTTGCAGTTTTTTGGGGGACAGTTTTTTACAATTACAAATAAGGTAAGCAACTTTTCATCTCCTAACATAATCATGAATTTATATAACTTTCGTACAGGGGACGGGTACAGAAATAACTTAAGAGCAGAAGTTGGTAAGGTAATTCCTGACTTCAGTTTATGTCTGAGCAAGCTCACCTTTATGCGGAGGCTCTGTTCATCATTGGCCTCAGTTAAAATCTTAGTGGACGACTACGACACACTCAACTAGTGCGTGTTCTAGTAAACTTGACCTATTCGCAAACGTTGAAATTGCATGTTTCTTCATACGACATACAGGTTCCTTATAGTAGAACTAATATAACCATGCTGACATCAAGAACAGATACATTTGTATACAACATCTGGTAATTTCAGTGATTGAATAAGCTCATTAAATCTAAACAAATAAAATAATAAATCCGTAAGCTACAATTAGGTTTAAAAATACACCTCAACTGTATTGGACAATATACCCCACGAAGTATGGTTTGTAACAGATTTCTTTATATTCCGAAAATATTTGCCACACTATGGCAACGTTATAACGAACAGGTATTTACACAGTGTAAGTATAAAGCTTGCGAGGTTTAAAATACAAGTCAGTAAACGTTTTTTAACGGTATACATCACATCTCAAGTTGCCATCGCTGTCATGAATCGGTGTGTCTAAAAATGAAAGTTTATGATCTTGTTAATGTTCAGAAGTGAATTTTATAATGTTTATATTTGCTGTTAAAGCACTCCAGAGATTGAGAAACACGGTCAGAGTTCCTAAGGTGATATAGCGGTTAAAAAGATTGCGGGCAGTTTTCCAACGATTGCTTTTTATGATAACAAAGAAAAAAAATTGGCCAAAGAGAGAGCCAGTCTATAGCCAATCCATTAAACTTGGTATAAAGATCGCCATCAACAGAAAATGTGATTCCTTAGTTACAAAATTAATCAAAAATACTGTAAGCGACAAATACACTTAAACCGTATTTGAGGGTATTCCTCTACCACAAAATTGATAAAATACAGCTATTTGTTAGGTGTCTTTTAATTGCATTATTTGTTATTGTTTTAGTGATGATATAATAATTAGATTTAATACAGAATATAATTCTCAGTGTTCGAAAGCTTAGAGCGCTTTAAACTGTGCTTATTTGTGTGTTTTAAATAGTGAACTTTGATCAGTTATCAAAATAAAATTGACATACACCTATCATAGTGCTTTTTTACACTAAACAGGTGCAAGTTTACTCTCGCTAACTGTAATTCAAAACAGCAGTTATGCTAACTTCCATGTAACGTGTAATGACAGGTTAAAACCTATACTTAAAACATGAAGAGGTTGAGTAAAGTATGGTTTTAACGTTGGCAAACCGACATTTTCTCATTCACGCACATAGGGACTAGAACCACAATTATGGCGTGTTTCAGATATTGAATGAGAGTTTCAGTGCTATTTTTATGCCACAAAAGGTGACAGAATCATTTACATTTCATCAACAATTATAAAAATATTTACATATGTGTGTGAGTCTCCTGACTCTGTACTTTGTTTCTTCGTTGTTAAGCCTAAAAGTACACAATGGACCATCTGTCTTGTGCCCACCCCTGGTATCAAAACCCGATTTTTAATGTTATAAGTTGACATATTTACAGCTGAGCTAGTGAGATGCATGCAGAATAGAGACAATTGATGATAATACACTGTCTAATTGGTTTTCTAATTTTTTCTCACAATTATGTATAGCAAAATCATATAGAGTTATGCAAGTTTTTGTGAAAGACATTTTGAGGCTTTCTTAAGATGATGATAGTTGTGTAATAACTTCTTCCAAACGATTTGCTGAAATTCTTAAATATAAATTATAATTATCAATAATTAGACTTAATTATGAATGGAAGACAAACCGCCAAAGGCCTCTATGACCACTCTGTCTTAAGTCGGCAGTTATCTGCTTGTTCTAACACTATCAAAATATCCCAGTAGTAATTCTAAAAGCCAATATAATGTTGTAGTCATTCTAATTTAAATTTGTTTTTCTCAGTCAAAGAGCGTGAATATTAATTAATTTCAACTGTTATAATCCTAGAGGCTTTCTACGTATTATGATTCATTTCTGCTAGAAGAATGCTTTGGGGAGTTTTCTGTATAATATATATGTATATCGCTACACACTCCTAACGCTACTGCAACATGTGTAAATAACCTAAGGAGCAAATTATCTTAAGTACAATTAAACTCACTATACATGCGGTGATATATATATATATATAGTAATTACTTGGTATATACCAGTTCTTGCTTAATACCAAGCCATCATAAAATAATATCACATTGTTAAGTTTAGCAGGACAAACAAAATGAACAAGCACGAGTAATGCTGTGTTCTTTGCTTAGTAATCAAAACCATTTTTGTAACTTTAACATATTAGTTAAAGTATAAAATTGTTTCCTTTCCCAATTCGTTCAGCAACTTAGGAGAGGAGCAAAAAATACCACGCTTCAAGAATAGCTAATTTATGGGCAATAAAAGCATACAGTTATAACCAGACATAGAATGATTTTGTCATAATTATATCGATAATAAACGCATCAGTATTCTTCCACGTTTAAAAATAATTATAGATTTTTAACTCCAAAACGAGCATATCGTGCAGTATATAGTTGTTTGGACCATTATTGCGTCTCTAAAGTAGAAAGAATATTAAGAAAGTTAATGATGTTGATAACGTCAAGGATTGCTTTGTTAACTGATAAAACAGGGGATTTTTCTCTGTATGTTACAGTGGATGTAAAATTAAGGAAACGTAGAGATTTCCTGTGAAAAACTACCCATTATAAATCAATAATAAACAAATATAAGTCCTATCAATAGGAACCATTAATAGTTAGGTCAATATTTCATAAATTGGCATGTCTTCCTTTCCAGAATAGCCATGGTTTTCATTACTTTTAATAGAACTAAAGTTTGCCCCGAATGCTATGGATTACTATATAATAATTCGGATAAGATGCTGTCTTAAGCCTTAATCCATAAAATAAGGCAAATAAGCAAATTAGAGCCTCCTCGTAGAATATATGTACGTATCAGTTTTTTATCTAATTTTTTTTATCACGCTAACAGAAAAAACTAATGAATTAGCGACATTAGTCCGCCTTGCTACGGTTTATCTGTTTGTTTGAAGTTAAGCACAAAGCTGCACATTGGGCTATCTGTGCTCTGCCCACCACGGGTATCGAAACTCGGTTTCTAACGTTTTAAGTCTGCAGATATACTGCTGTGCTACTGGGGGAGGGGCTTGCTACGGTCTGATTAAAGTATCATTAGCAATAACATCTTATTCTATTTTCTATATATTTTACATTAGTCCACCTTGCTACAGTCTGATTAAAGTACCATTAGCAATAACTTCTTATTCTATTTTCTATATATTTTACATTAGTCCGACGAAGGTCAAATAAAAAATAATTGTCTGTAATATTTTATTTCTAAGCGTACAAATTTAAGGGTTTGCATACTTTCTAAAATAAGAATAATTTCCTATTAAAAGTTATTTTATTTCATGTCTCTTAACACACAATTATTACTTATTGCTTCCCAAATTCAAGCTCATACCCCATTCA